GGCGGCGGTTGGGGGGGCGGTTGGGGCGGCGGTCGGACGCTGCAAACTGGACGCCAATAGGGGGGTGCGACGAACTAAGACCCGGTGCGTTTGCAAAGCAATCGTTTCTGACGTTGGCAGCCATGATGAAGGAATATTTCGCACCTTGCGGGGCCTGTTGTTGTAGAGGTAGGGGAACGCCACCTTGTACTCGGTGCGGATGGGGGACCTGAGCATGGGCGGTTGGGGTGGGTTGGGGGAGTGGTGAGCACAGCGGCGCGCCAGCAGCTTTCCACCTGCCCTGCTCCATTGCGCTCAGGCACGGGTCGCCGACAGATCAACAGCAGACGTACCAGCAAAAGCACCGATGAAGCAATGCAGCGAAGCCACACCTGTGGGCATTCAGCCGCCTCCCGGAAATCCCAAGCCTCACGACCCATTCACAACGCGCAAGCACAGACGCAGTGCAGCCCGCGGCCCCCACCTGATGATGAGCTTGTTGATGTCGTTGAACTCGTTCCAGTCCTCGTCCCGCGTGTCCATGTCCCTGAACATCGGCTCAAACTTGGGCCCCCCAGGGATGGCCATGTTGAGCGACTTGGCGGTCACGAAGGACGCGTCGTCGAAGAGGTAGAAGTAGTTGCGGTCCGCAAAGTCAGACAGCAGCTGCCCCGCCAGCCTTGGAGGGGGTGGGGGGGGGGGGTTGCAGAGGGGGGCGCTCGCAGTCAGCAAGGAGGGACGGTGGCTGGCGGGCAGGGGCGCTGCTTGAGGGATGGCTTCACAGGCAGGTGGTGCGTGAGCAGGATGTGCCTGATGAGCTCAGGATTCGGGGAGGCAGTCGCCGGTGGACACATTGATTGCGGTCTCAGACGTGCGATGCGCTGCGCAGCTGGGATGGCGCGCCCTTTATGGCACCCCTTCGCCTCAACCCCACCCCCTGATGCACACACCCTTGATATCAGGCATGTGCCCGCACCACACCGCACCTGTACAGCACGCTCATGACGGGCAGCGGCAGCTTCCAGCGCCGGTACGAGGGCCCGTTCACGAACTTGGTGTACTTGAGAGGCTGGTGGTCGTAGAACCACTCCACCACGGGGCCGTCCTCCTCCTCCTCCAGCTCCATCTGGGATAGTGGACGTTCAAAACAGGGTGCAGATGTGGTAAGGATGAGGTGGGGGGGGGGCAGCGATGAACGGTGGGGCTTGGCCGCGGCACGGGGAGGCGAGCAAACATGCTCGAGCCAATGCGAAGCATGAGTGTACATCCGCCTTCCAGCATGCAAGCTCACACACACGCACGCACACACCCACCCACACACACACACACACTCGCGCGCGCACACACACACACACACACTCTCTCTCTCTCTCTCTCTCTCTCTCTCTCAATCTCTAACATGCGTGCGCGTGCGTGCAAAAAACAACCAGCCGCTGTGTGCAAGCGCATGCGTTCGCCAACACACACACACACACACACACACACACACAATATGCAATCCCCCCTCCCCACCTCTATGGCCTCCAGGGGGTCCACGTCCAGGATGTTGTCCGCATAGTCCAACGGCGGCTCCTCGTCGTCAAACGGCGGGAACCGCATGCGCTTGAAGTGGCGGCGGTCGCGCTTCTCGCGCCGCATCATGATCCACATCGTGCCCCACTGCGCCATGTAGACGGGCTCGATCACCCAGGGGACCTCGTTCACAAAGGTGATGGCGCCCGTGATATGGTAGATCACCTTCAGGTGCCGCACCTGTGAGGCAGGGGGGCACAGGGGAGAGGTATTTGGGGGCGTGCAATGCGTTAGCTGTTCATGCTAGCACTCTGCGCGTGAGGTAAGAGAAGGGCGCCTGCGGAACCGTTGCTCTGCCTCCCCGCCTGCAACGCGGGTTCCCCACGCTCTGCCTCGGCGCAACTACGGAGCGGCTACCCGCTGAGGCGCTTCAGCTGCCTCCAGACCCGCTCAGGCGCTGACGCCTCTGCACCGATGCTGTGAATGCCTTGCATCGGCACAAATCAACACGCCTGACGACACCCGGAAAACGCCTTGCTCTCAAACCGACGTCCCTGCGAATCCTGGACCCTCGAGCACCATCGGCCTCCCGGCCCACCCTTCAGCCCTGACGCCCCACCCCATCCACTGCCAGCCCCCACCTGCTCCCAGGGCATGGGCATGTTCTCCAGCAGCTTGTACACCGCGTGGGGCACGTACTTGAGCGCCCCCAGGTAGACGCGCTTGTCGTGGCGGAACTTGCGGCTGCTCATGTCGCCGTGGTCGCGGATGACCTGTCGGTTGGCGGCGCGGGCCAGGTGGGTGAGGAGTGGGTGGCGGACCCGGCTGCTGCTGAGGGATAAGCGCGCTCGCCGCAAGAGCACATCGCCACAGCAGCGCAGCAGCGACCGTGAGCGTGCTCTCCCACCGCGCCGCGCGGCCAAGGCAGTGACTGGGATGGGTGCGGCTTCGGTGCGCCGCGGCTGCTGACGCGCCCGGGCGCCGCAGCCGCTGCAGGCAGTGGTCTGACCTTGCGGACGTGCTCCGGCGGCATGTCATCCTTCTGCGCCTGCACGTAACCGAACTGGCGCTTGTCCGCATAGCGGCGGCTGTTCAGCTGCTGCCACTTGCGCGCCTGCAGTGCGTGGCAGGCAGACGGGGCGGCGGGGCGCCGCGAGGTGAGACGCATGAGGGGACCCACAGCATTCGTGACTGTTCCGCGCTCCCTGAGCCCACCGCAGGCCTCATATGTTAAGGATATTACGGTCAGCATGCCATACATCCAATGGCTGCCGCATGTGGCAGCATGCAGGCCCTGAAAGGGGCACGCTGCAGGCTGAGCGGCTCCACGCGGCGGCAGCAAGCCATGCGCCGATCTCAGCCGCGCGATGTTTTCGCGGCGCATGGCAGCTTTGCAGGGACCCGCGCTCCGCCTGGCATACATACAGGATACCAAGGTGCGTGACACGCCTGACAAGCGCCCAGGCACTCCCCAGAGCGCGTCCCTTGGCAGATCGTCGCCCACGGCAGCGAGCCTCGCGTTCATGCAGAGAACAACCGTGATCATACAAAAAGGTCTCGTGCCCACCTTCTCCTCCAGCACCGCTTGCATCTGCTCCGGCGTGGGTGCAGCCATGGCAGGCCCAGGAGGCCCGCCGGGAGGCCTGCCTCCCTGCATCAAAGGGGTCCTTTCAGTACTCCAACCGCTTGCGTCCTTCGGCGCGACGCTATGGTGGGCTGCGATCTAGTGCAGCCTTTGGTGAGTTCCCTGATCGTCGGCCAGCAAAGTGGTGGGTATAAAAGCGCCACCGTACTGACGTTGCGAAGGCGCGCACCACCGTATGGCTCTAGAGACACTGCATGGTGACGGCAGCTAGTGTGTCCAGTTGGGAGTGTCTGGTGTGGAGATGTGTGCTGCGCGATGCATGAACTGTTTGTGCTCTCTTTTGTCCACAGTGCCACTATACTTTCTCAGTATAGCAACCACATGGGTTTGCACGTCGTGCGCACGCCCTAAACGACAGCCACACCTCTCGGTGATAACTTCGATGTTGCCCTGCGCTGATGCCCGCCGCCAGCTGCGGCAGCTGTGCAGCACTCAGCGTTGTCTGTGTGCCCGTGGGTATTGCCTGTTGCAGCCCTGCAGCCATCCAGCCTGCATGCTGCAGTGCTGTCTTGACCCGACACGCTTCCTCTGCACCCCCCTTTTCCACCTGCCCAAATATCTGCCCCCTCGCAAAGAAAGGAATGCTGTGCCCAGCCTGCGTGCGCTCCTGCCCCGACTTTTCACGCCTGAGCAGCTGCTTGCACAGGAGCTGTGCATGCGGGCTGGCCCCCGCACAGCTTCGCATCATAGCCTAAATTTCAAGGAACCAAGCGCTGGCCCCTTGGCATCCATTTGCAGCACCTCATTGATGACGCCACGCAGTGTGCACTCGCGTGGACCCTGCCTGGCTCGCGGTGCACCCGCTTGCGCGGCAATAGAAGCGCGCTCTATCACATGCACACTTGTGCGGCTGGGTTTCCAGGGCGTGCGGGGCTTCAACGACTGCCAGCGGGTGGGCTGTCAGCCAGGCGGATAGTGCGGGACCTCAGATGGCATCATCGTCGTGCAGGTGCTGCGCCAGGTGTGTCAAACTCATCCCGAATTGCATCTCACTCTGTAGCGGCGTTCCCAATCGAGTACGTATGTCACTTACTGGTACTCTATGTTTCGATCAACGCGGGTCTTCTACCACGGTTCCGTCTCGGTACCCGCAAGGCGCCCCCACACCAAGTGTTGATACACTGGCAGGTTTCCTTGTGTCAGCGCCCCGCTTTTGACCCTGTATAAATATCAAGTTGCACGCGGTCTCTACAGACGCCGATATATCGCTCTTCTCCACAGATCTGACCCAGTGCGTGTTTGATCTACCGTTGCTCTTCACAGCCCGTGGGAATAGCCATGCCGGGTGGTGGAGATGAGGATCACAAGATGTCGGATGTGGGCGGTGCTGACTCCGGCGACAGCGGCTCAGATGACGACGACAGCAGCAGCAGCAGCGACGAGGAGGTGGAGGTCGGCGAGCAGGACATGTCGCGCCTGATGCAGTTGGAGGCCGCCTTGGAGGCGAACCCCAACCAGTACGACACGCACCTGGAGGTGTGTAATCAGTGAAGTGCGCCGCGCTCGGTGACCGCTTCACGTGGGCATCAGCTGTGGGATGAAGCCAGTGTGGGAGCGGCCTGCGCAGAGCCGCCGAGCTTGCTCTTCGATGCGGTGCACGCCACTGCTGTTGAAGACTTCTGGTCGGTTCCAGTACCTTGCCAGACCTGTATTCGCTGCTTGCGGGCCCTCCTGCTGCCCGGAATGCCCCCATTGCCTCTCACACACCCGAATGCAATCCGACCCGCAAACGTTCCACCCAAAGTACATCGAGCTCCTCCGCAAGTGCCGCCTCCGCGAGCGCCTCCGCGCCGCCCGCGAGCGCATGCACGGCGTCTTTCCCTTGAATGAGCGCCAGTGGCTGGCGTGGCTGGGGGACGAGATGGACGCGGCGCGCGCGCCGGGCGATCTGGAGCGCATCAGGGCGCTGTACGGGCGGGCTGTCAAGGATTACCTCTCTGTGGAGATCTGGGCCGGCTACCTCGAGTGAGCCACTGGCGGGTTTCATTGTTTGAAGGGTCTTGTGGTCAAGCAGTGGGGACGTGGGAGCAGCAGGGGCACGGGGGCAGCGGGGGTGTGGGCGCAGCTGGGGTGTCGGGCACCGGGGCTGTGGGCCGCATCCCACGCACCTGTTTTGGAAGGCAGCAGAGCTTGCAGCAGCTGCACGCGCGAGGGCGAGAGCCACTTGCTTGGAGCAGCTGCATCGACTGGGGAAGATCGGGGATTGAAGGCGTGGGCGCTGCGGGGTGCGAGCTATTGTGCCTTGGCTGTTCAGGAGCGAGAGCGCGCCCCACGACTTCTGGCACAGCGCACCGCGGCAGCACGCCATGTGGGCGGTCCGGCGCACCTTTCTGCGCCTGCACTTGTCCTTCGCAATTGACAGAGTCACTGTCTCCACCCCCAACAGCGAATTGTCCGCCCCGGCCTCACGGCTCACTCCAGATTCCTGCACCAGATGGATAGAGATGTGGCCGCCCACAGCCCCACAGGCGCGGCTGCATTCAGGGCGGCTGCTGAGGAGGCGCTGCAGGCGGCGGGGCTGCACCTGTCGGAGGGCGCCCGCGTGTGGGCCGCGTTCAGGTGTGTCTTTGGGTGGTGCTGCGGGTGGCGTACTGGAGGGATGCTTGTTTAGTGAGGGGCCACTTGCTGCGAGCACCAGGGCACCCCCAGGCGGGAGTATGCTCAGGAGAAGGGTTTGCAGCATTGCCAGGCAGCAATGGCAGAAATCAGGGCGATGCACGTTGCGACGGCAGATTGTGAAGGGCCCCCTTACTAATGCATTCGCACACCCTTTTCTCCCTCATCACCCTGCTCTTCACACCCTCACACGCACGGACACACACACACACACACACACACACATACACACACACTTACGCAAACACAAAAATACTCACCTAGCATACACATACCACGATTTGACTTGCTGTCCCCGCACCAGGACCTACGAGCAGGAGGGCCTAGACGCCGCCGACACCGCCTCCAAGGACCAGCAGCGCGACAGGGTGCGCGCCCTGTGGCAGCGCCAGCTGGCGGTGCCGCTGGCCGGGGGCGAGGAGCTCCTTGCTGAGTACGAGGCGTGGGAGGAAGCTGTTGGGAAGGTGCGCTGGGCGGGCGGTACTTGTCGCTTTGCTGGGCAGGCAGCAAAGGTGTTGGTCTGTGCCGATGCCCCTGGGTATGGTGTCCTAGTGTTTGCACCAAGCCGCGCCGCTGACGGGTTTGAGGCAGCAGAAGTGGTCCCGGGTTTTGCCATTGAGAGCAACACGCTCGCCCCGCGCGCCGGCGCCGCTCGCAGGGCGCCGTCCCCGAGCACGTCCGCAAGGCCGCCGGCAAGGCGCAGGCGGCGGCGTCGCTCCGCGCCGCGCACGAGGCCGCGGTGGGCGGGGAGCGGCCCGCCGACGCGGCGCTGCTGGCTGCCTACCTCGCATACATCAAGCTGGAGCAGGCGCAGGGCGACCCGGCGCGAGTGCAGGTGGGGCAACACGGCGCGGCGCAGACGTCCCGGGACATCGTCCCAACCCATGCGTTGCGAGCGCCTTCCTCAGGCCTTTTTTGGAGCTGAGGACAGCTTGATCCGCAGCTGGCGGCGATCGCGGCGCTCTTCTCAGCCGCCTTCTAGGCCCTGATCAAACCGAACACATTGACCGCAAGTCAGGCCCTGATGAAACCGAACTCACCAACCTCGTGCGCCGCAGGCCGTGTTTGAGCGTGCGGTGGCCGCCTTCCCTGTGACCGCCGAGCTGTGGCAGCAGTACGCGTCGTACCTGGAGAAGACAGTGAAGATCCCGGCGGTGGTGGACGCAGTGTACGGCCGCGCGCTGCGCAACTGCCCCTGGGTGGGCGCGATGTGGGGCCGCGCGCTGCGGGCGCTCGAGAGGGGGGCCGGCGGCGGCGGCGGGGAGGCCGCGCACGCGGCGATGTACGAGGCGGCGCTGAAGGCCGGCCTGCAGGTGGGGGGCCGGTTCGTGTTTGGATGCAAGGGGGGCTAGTGAGGAGGACGGTTTCCAGGGGCCGTCACGGATTGCTTCCTTTGAGGCTTGAGCATGTGGCTGTGCTCACTCCTGTATGGGCTTCTCATGCAATCCCGGGTCCCCCCGCCCGCCTCAATACGACCCCCGACGCCCCGCCGCCAGCGGCTGGGCCGCAAACCTTGCGAGCCCCCTGGGCCCTGAAACACCCCTTGACCTTCCACAATTCCACCGCCGTCCCAGGGCCCAGAGGACTATATGGAAGTGATCCTCGCCCGCGCAGACTTTCTCAGACGCCGCCTGCCGCCGGCCCCCGCTGACGCCGCCGACGCCGACGCCGGTGCCGCGGCTGCGCCCGTGCGGATGTTCTTTTCGTCGGCGTCCGACCTCATGGCGCAGTACTTCCCGGACTACGCTGACAAGGCGCTGCGGCTGCCGGGGTACTGGGCGCACGTGGAGGCGTTTGTGCTGCGGGACGCGGCTGCGGCGCGGGGCGTGTGGGAGGGCGTCGTGAAGGGGCTGCTCGGCAGGTAGGCGTGGGCGGGGCGGGCCTGCCGTTTTGTATGGCAAACGCTGCAGGAGGTCGCACCTGTTTCAAGCAATGGGGCTCCAGGAAGCTGGGGTTGGCGTTGTATGCAGAAGGGACTAAGAGATCTGACCATGAGAGGTATCACAGCAACACGTCCCCGGCTGGCCAGGGTTGAAATACAAGGTCGGCATGCTTGAGGCCGTCATGTTACTCCCTTGCAAGCGCCCCACCGCGATTGTCAACGGACAACTGCAGCTGTGCCACCACCACTTTACCGCCAGGCACTATGAGACGTGGGCCGCCTATGTGGCGATGGAGCGCTCCCTCCGTGCGCTGACTCAGGCGCGCGGCGTCTACAGGCGCGCCTGGTCCAGGAAGCTGGAAGCCGGCGGGCAGCTGGCGCTCTGCTACGACTGGCTGCGGTTCGAGCGAGAAGAGGGCAGGTGGGCGCTTCCCGGGAACCGACAAGCGCTGAGCCGCGTCGAGGGCTTTCGGCTGGGGTTGGGGCCGCAGCGCTCGAGGCAGGCACCAGCACTGCCTAGAGAGACCACATGACGGTGGCAAGTCGCAGCGCGGCGCGGGGTTTGCTCCATTGCAGCCAGGCTCGACATGTCTGTTGCTCCCATTGTTGGTGACTACCGCCGCTCAACTGCCGATTGCACTGCAGTGCTGAGGACCTCCAGGCGGCGCACCTCAAGGTAGAGCCGATCCTGGAGGGCGCCACCGCCGCCGCCGCGGCCGCGACGGACAGCCACGCCCTCGCCGTCGCGCGGGTGAGGCGGCGCCCGTGACTCCCGTTGGGCAGCGCGGACGCGCGTTTTCCCGCTCTTTGCCTGGGAGGTCGCTCTTGTGCCCGCCTGCCGGGCGCGCTTGGACCTGCGGCATCTGTGGCCTTCGTTTGTGCACCAGCACAGACAGACAGCATTGCTCTCTCGACCAAACACCGTGATCCTCACCAGCAAGAACCCTTTTCCCTCTTTGTGCACCTTTTTCAATTCATCATTTCGTAAACGTGGCAAAAGCAAGCCATCGGTGTTTTGCGCTGGTTATTTGGCCAAAACGGCAGACGCATGTACAACCGCGACCACCCCCCCCCCTCCGCAGGCGGCAGTACAGCAGGCCCCCAAGCTGTCCAAGGAGGAGGTGGCGGCCATGAGGCGCGCCAACGACCCAAACTTTGGCAAGGCCAGCAAAGGTGAGCCACAGCCGCGGCGACACCACCACTGACAGGTCGACATGCGAGTATGTCCCGAGCAGCGACTTGATCGGCAGGGCTTGAGCACAGCGCGCTGGCACTTGGTTGAGGGGCCTTTGTGGGCAGCATGCCCTGAGCGCGGCACTCTACGGCGCTCTCCAGGCCTGCCGTTTCGCCAGGATCTGGCTGCGCCATCCATAGCAACCCAGTGCGCAACCGTGTTGTGCACATTCCCCATGCCCGGACACCACCGCTTCACCCCCTTTGTCCCCCCCCCCCTGCCCCCCCGCACCCAGC